TAGAGCCAAAGATGTTAGAATTGTGTTGATGTCCCAATATTTCTGGACCTGACTGTATATAGAATATAAAATTGTGTATCAAAATAATGCCCTTCATTTCCTTCAACAAGGAGATCCCCCCATGGTTTTGTGGCCCCTGTCAATCAGTGTGGTGGACCTCTGGGTTTTCTGACTCACTGCAAACCAGGGAAGGTGTTGAAAATGTCAAGATGGCAGCCAAGATCTCATGGTTGCAGAGGCCATCTTGACATTTTTGACACTCTCCCCCCTACAGACACCTAAATGTCATAGCTCGTCTCTGGTCCAGAGAAAGATATGTGGATGGCTTGTAGCTGTATGGGTCATTACCAATGACTTATACTGAACTCTTAAAGGTTTAATACTGACTTTTCCCAACAATTCCATCTTAAAATACAGACATTTTTACAGTACACACAAATACCCATGCATTATAAATACCCATTAGTTACAGTATGGTTAATACTGATATAAGTAATTGTATATAACAGTCAATTTGTGTGAAGATTCAAGTAATATCAGCATTACTGAGCAGTAACAACGTATGGGGTGGAGTGATGAACATGTCTCCCGATAGGACATCCCCTGCACAAAATCTATCCAAATTTGCTTTATAACTAGAAATCTAGATATGTTTTCCATACATTGGTTGGATCTGCACACTGAGCTAAGCCATCATGTGGCTTGTTTGTAGCTTAGTGTGTAAAGTAAACACAGCCAATTTTAGGCTACTTAGTAAAACATTAAAAAATGCTTCGCATAATACATAAATCCAATTGATCTTTACAGATAAATCTCCACCTTCTGGTTCAACCCAATGTTTATTTGCATCTGATCCCTTTAAAGCAGCCCTTCTTAAGCTTTTTACCCTGGGGGAACACTTGAAATAATTTTCTGGTCTCAAGGAACCCTATGCAAAAATTATTATATCTACAGTTCACAGTACAGGTAGTCCTTGTTTAGCAACCACAGCTGTGACCAACTTGGTCATTAAGTGAAGCGGTCACTAAGTAAAACAGGTATGCTTATGATCTTCCTTTGCTTTACAGACCTGCAAAGGTTGTAAATGAGAGGATCGGTCACAAAATTACTTTTTTATCAGCTGTAACTGCGAACAGTCACTAAACGAGGTAGTTGCTAGATGAGGATAACCTGTATCTTATCATGATCAGTAACTTGTAAATATAATAATCCAATACTAATTGTGAGCACTCTTCTGAGAGTGGTTTTTTCCCAGTGGATCTGATTATTTTGGCCAAATTATTAGCTTACTCTTTTTGTTATGTTCCCCCTGCCCCCACAAAGATATCAACTCTAATATAGGGCAGGAGGATAGGTAGAGGAATGTCAGTTTTTCCTCTTTTTAAAATTTCCTACTTGATTTTTTTTACCTTATCCAAGTAGGCCTAAACGTCTTATCACAAATTTCTATTTTACAAGATGCTAATGAGGAATAGTACAGGTGGTCCTCGACTTATGACCACAATAGGGATCAGAAAATTCATTGTTAAGCAGTGTGGTTGTTAAGCAAGGCATCACATGACCACACCCGATATCACATTTTTTGCAGTGGTCGCTAAGCAAATCACATAGTTGTTAAGTGGGTCATGTGGTTCCCCATTGACTTTGCTTGCCGGAAGCCGGCTGGGAAGGTTGCAAAATGGTGATCATGTGACCCCAGGATGCTGCAACCTCATAAATACATGTCAGTTGCCAAGCACCCAAATTTTGATCACTTGTCTGTGGGGATGTTATGACAGTTGAAAGTGCAAGGACAGGTGGTAAGTCACTTTTTTCAGCACCATCATAACTTTGAACAGTTGCGAAATGAATGGCCATAAGTTGAGGACTACCTATATGTGCAAGAGTCGTTTTTTCCCCCTTATTTACAACTAAGTGGAAGTTTCACTTCCAACCTATACACATTTTGCAACATTTACAACAGCAAAGCAGCAGACCAGAATTTTCAGAGTGCGTAAAAATTCCCAACACTGCAAGCACTAACATTTAAAGTGTGTGAAGTTCAAAACCCAATGTTGTTTTTTTTCCAGTCATGATACCTTGCAGAATCCTTATGAACCTCTCAGAAACCCAGTTGAGAAAGGCAGCTCTAAAACATTTTGCATATGCCAGGAGCACAAATTGTTTTTGGCCTCATGGGCCACACTTCCTGTCCGGCCTGGGGACCATGGGGAGACGTAGCTGGTGATGACACTGGAATGGATCAAATGGGAAATTCTGGATCTGTTCTTCTTTATTGGAGGGACAGTTTAAGTGGCCCCATTGGTTCCATAAGCCTTACAAAAGCTATTTTGCCTCTTAACGCTCCCCCACCCCAAGTGGGAAAAGTAGCCCCATTTTTGGCAGGGACAGTTCTGAGCCTTGAAAGGATGCTATTTCACCTTTTAACCCCAAACTCAAAAACCAAAACAAAAAATGTCTAGCTCTGTCACTCTGGGATCTCTGGAAGTTGCAAATGGGGTTCAGAGGGGCACAGATGGGTCGCAAACCCCAGAGCCTCCATTCCTGCTATCTCCAACAATACAAGGATGGTCCAAACTTCTGTTGAAGAGAGTTTTCGTTATCCTGGATATTACTCTTTACTTCCCACCCATTTTGTCCCCGCTGCACTCAGGAGTCGCTGTCTGTTTCTCAAAGCTTTTCAGAGGTGCCACCCTCAGAAGATCACACATGATTCAGAGTCCTGTCTTCTTGAGTTTTGATTGATCTGAAACTGCAGTCTCTGGATCTCATCCTGAAGATCAGAGACTTCCTGCTGATACTGTTGTTCATGAAGCCTCCTCTGCTCCTAAAGTGCAGAATAAAGGTCAGTGGCTGGCTTCACACATCACAATAAGCCATGAGGTTTTTTAACCATCATCAGTTGAATAAGCCACAATGATTTAAGCAGCAAAACCAAACAAGGCAGTTTATTGTTCAGCATAAAGTAGGAGCCCATTCAGGGTCCATGGGTTGTACAGCTGTAAATAGGAGAAGCAGGTCATACACCAACAAGTGCTTTCACACCACAAAACCACAAAAAAGAACAAAATAAGAGGGTTATGGCTAATTCAGCGTAGCAGGTTAGGTGAATGGAGCTATCAGGTCTTTAACTGACCAAGTTAAGTGTCCTACATGAAGCCAGCCATTCAAACTCATAGGAGAGGAAACTGAATTACAAAAGAATCCAGTCATTCCCTAGGATTCCATTTGGTTGGCCCCAGAATCCTCAAAAATCTGCAAGAAACAAGTTATTTCTTTCCTGCCTATAAGAAGACAATAACCAAAAATTCCCATAATGCTGAAGGCTTCCACCAACGTCAGCTGTGCACATCAACATGCACTGCTTTTTTAAATCAACCGTTTTGACGTCATGTTCTCTAGTGTTCTGAAAGTATCAGTGGGAACCATGCTTTTGGAATCAGGTGCGTGGAGAAACCTGGTTTCCTATGTTATTTTTGAAGGCACATCTCCTAATGTACACATTTCATAGACCTCTTTCCTTCCCTTTCTTGCAAGCAGTTTTCTCTCATTTTTAATGTGCTTGATAAAGGAATTGCGCTGCAACACTGGGGGAAGTGCAAAATCAAAGGGTGTAAAGTTTATATTAAAATGAGGAACAGGTGAAAGTTCTCCTTGTATTTCTACGTGCCACTGAAGCAACTGATAAAGGTAAGTGGAGTCCTTGGTGCTCTCTGAGCTTGGTTGTTTGCTTGCAGACGTTTCATTACCCAACTAGGTCACCTCATCAGTGTGAGTGAGTGTGGGGTTTGCTCCCTGATTATATACAGTAGCTTGCCCTGCCAGTGTTGGTGAGGGGGTGGTTTTCTCCTTGGTAGTTCCTTGATTAGGGCATTGTTTTCTGCTGGATTGTTTGCCTGGTGTCAATCCTTGCTTATCTGGGTGTTGGCTGCTGGAGAGAACCTGGTCTTTTTGTTCCGGTCTTTTTGATTCCTTCTTAGCTTTTTTATTGTCTCTTTTGAATGGTGTGTAAATGGTATGTAAAAGTAAAGCCTGTATAATGGTATGTAAAGGTAACTGGTGTGCAAAGGTAAGTCAAACAGACAGGAATGATGGTGAAAACTATTACCTGGATCTTCTGGTTCAGGAGCCACTCATACTCAGTCGCAGTCCTCCTCCGCTCTTCCTCCATCTTGCCCAACAGCTGCCTTCTGTGCTCCTCGAAACTCCGTTGGTTTTCCTTGGCTGTCTGTTCTATCTGTTCTTGAATTTCTCTCTGCAGCTGAAGTGCCCGCATAGAGGCCTCAGACTCAGCTTTCTCAGCTGAAGACAAAAAGACTAAATCAGAAATTCTACTACTTAGTATACTGATGATGTCAACATAGAAAAAGTCACCCCAACATCTCCTGCTGGGGACTGCTGTTCACAAACAGTCTCCTATTTACTGTGGCAGAAGACATTAGCAGTGGCAACCATGGGTCTCACTAATGTGCAGTCTTCCCTGGGGAAGAATCAAGGGTCCTCCCTGGAAGAATCACCTGCAATCGCCTTTGCCTGCTTTGTGAGAGTCTGATCAGCATGCAGAATGGATTGTCCTTCTGGCTCCTTAGATGTCAAGAAGTCTTGCAGGGCCAACATGGCCTAGAGAGAATGTAAGAGAAAATGACACAGTTCGCTTCTTACCGGGTTCCCACCTTCATCCTTCAAAACAGAAGGGCTCTGTGACTCCTTTCATAGAAGACTGAGTCATAAATGGCTTATGGGGTGTCCACAGGAAGGGGGATTAAAAAAGTCAAGATGGAGGGCCCCACCATAAGATCAAAGCCCTACCTCTTTTTATCTGCACGGATGCACATATAAAGGGGGCAGGGCTTCGATCCCATCCATCATCTTGACTTTTTTGACCCTCCCTTCCCTGCAGACACCCTGGTGGTTTACAAATTACAAAAGTGGGTTTGCAAAACACAGTACGACCCAACCAAATGAATCACACAACAGCTTAGCAAATGCCTGTTCCCGATCTCCCACCCCGCTACACAATTTGGCTTTAATCAAAACATCCAGGTTCTCAGCCCACATACCATTGGTCCTTTCTCAGGGATCTTGTGGTACCTCTCCACTAATTCCTGCTGGTCATCCAGGAAGTGTTGGTAGCCACCAGGCACTAAGTAGCTCCTACTGCAGATCTTCTCCTCCAGCTCCTGGAACAATTCCAGGAGCACAGCCTGACAACGGCTCAAAGACTCCTGCTGGTTCTGAAGGCAGAGTTCTTCAAGTTTGGATTGCAGCTGGTTCTAAGAGGCAGAAACCATGACAAAAGGTGTCACGGACACTTGGTAATGGGGAAACAGCCCTTTGGATGACTTGATCTCAAATATTGGGCAGACCTGCTCTATTCTGCTCTCCAGAAGGGGCAAATAATCAGAATGTTACAAAGGGCAGCTTCTGGGTGTGGAGCATCTTCCAAAGGAATCTGCCAACCACCCCAATCCAAAAGACTCTTCCCAAATGTGCTGCACGTAAAAGGCAGGCAGAGCTTCAGTTGCACCATTGTGGCTGCCACTGTGACTTTTTTTTAACCATACCCTGCAGACACCCCTGTCCAACTGAGACCAGCCTTTCTCTGTCACCCTTTAGCTGGGCAGGTATTTTGGGCCTAGATGTGGTATGCATGTTCCTTATTTCAAGTTATTGACCTCCTATTGCTTGAATCCATCTTTTTAACAATCCAGTACGGATTAATTTTATGGTACATTTCTTTAAGGGGAGGGTCCTTCTAGACAGTATAGAAATATTAGATAAGAGATGTAATCTGGTACCTGCAACTGTTTCTGGTACTCTTGATCCTTGTCGTGGAAGGCACGGGCTAAGAACACCTGAATGGCCTCTCTCTCACAGGAGGCATGCATGGTAAATAATTCAGAAACATCTTCTGTGGGTAGATCTATCAACAGCCCCACCATGTTCTCGTAGCATCTGAGGGCATCATTTACAGCAGCTGAATTCTCTATCTGAGCCAAGGCCAGCACCGCATTCTCAATGCAAGGGACGGCCCCACTCCGAATGGCATCCACGTAGGTCATTGCCAGGCTCCCCAACACTGCAAAATTCATCTTTATGTAGTGTATCTAGTTGCATTTTCATCCCATCTTCTTCCCACCAGCCTCCTTTTTCCCACCCAGCATCTTCTAGACAGATAGCTGGGAATAGAATGATCTGATGGAAGCTATGGTCCACCAGATCCAGAGGTTAAATCTATTCTAAAGGCTCGACACAACAAGTTAAAGTGGTTCCACAAAAAAGTAGAAACCACAAAGCTTGTTTCAACTGTTCTATGAGGAGTTACATTGAGTCATCATGGGTCTGAAATTTTTTCACCCACTTCTCTCCTTGCTCAGTTCCCCTTCCTGGGATTCTCCTGTTATGGCATCCTTTGCTGCTTCTACTTACGTGTCCCAGTGACCATGTGTCCTCCCTGGATAGTTTTGGGCCGGGCCTCTTGATAAATGTAGCGGCAAAACTGATGTGCTTGCTCCAAGAACTCAGGTTTCAGGTTCGACTCATCCAGCATCTCAAGGTGTGGTAGATCTCGTCGGGAGGCTGGGCGATCAAACACGAAGCACTTACGGCGAGGGAAATACTGCCGTAAGTACTTCTGAATCTTAGCCTGATTCTCTGGAATATCTAGAAGAAAATCCATAGACACACAAACACAAATAATCAATCAGGAGGCTTTATTGGCTGTTCTACAACCCAACAGTCCACACCAACAGTGCTTTGGGAGAGAAAAGGAAGCTTAAAATTATCATGGGGAATTTCTTTTCTCCAACCCGCTTTCCCCACCATGGATGAAAACTAGCAATTTGGCAAAGGCCAAGCTTGGTTTCCAAAAACAGTTTGTCTAATACTCTGGCAACTATTACAAGTTTTTATAAGCAAAAGAGCTGGGGGGAGAAGAAGAGAAAGGGGAAGGGGATGGAGATGAGATTGTCAGAATCCTTGCAAACCTTTATTAAGAAATATTATTCACGCTATAGCCTGCTTGCTTTTCACTTGCTTTTCACTTGCTTTTGATGTTCTGCCATGGGGGAAAGGAAATGGATGGAAGGCGGTCAGAGACAGATGGGCTCTTATCACAAGCCCTGGAATGCTCAAGGCCGTACCAACGGGAGAATATGAGGAGGCTAAGAAGGCAGGGGGTGAAGGAGGGAAATTATGTTATTTAAGCCCTCTTTAGGCTAGGAAGCTAAGCAGGTTAGTATTTGGATGGGAGATACCAGAAAATACCAGGGCTGTAGGCTAGACTAGGAAGTTGAAAAACATTCTGGAAGAAGGCGATGGCAAACTATTTCCACAATGAAGCCAAGAAAACTACAAGGATATGTAGTCACCAGGAATCAAACTCAGCTCAAAAGGATCTTTGCTTTATTTTTCCCCACCCCCAATCATTTTGGGGGCAAAACCTAGACAGCAAAATGGCTCAGACCTCCCAGGTGAGATCCCACCAGATCCTGCCTCACCGTTCTGTCTTTCCAAGGCTATCTCCAGGTACTCATCTTCAGAGATCAAGCGCCCATCCGCCAACTCCAGTTGCAACCAAAAATCACGTACCACCCAAATGAAGGCTGGGAAAAAAAAGGCGAACTCATCAGGGGGCCCGTCGTCTCTCTCCCCATCCTGCTGGGGAGAGGCCTTCACCTCGATATGCTTGGTGAGTTCAGCCACGTAGCTGGGCATCAAGCTAAGGAAAAGAGCAAAGTGCTTTCTCCATCTGGGACAATCGCTTCTCAGTCTCAGGGGTCAGGTGGCCCACTGAAGCTCAAATGTCTGGGGGCTGTGACACTGGTATTGCAAACTGCACCCAGGAACCATCGCTTCACTGACAACCGCAGTGATTTCCACCTCTTGACAACTGTTGCGTGTGTAGGCACATGTGGGTGTAGGCATATCTGAGCATGAGACTTCTGTAAAATGGCGGGAGCTTCAATCATGGGATTGCAACCGCCGCTGTGACCTTTCTGAACCACCCCTGCCGATGCCACTAATGCATATCCATTTGCAGGCATGCAGGCAGGCCATTGCAGCTCACCTCCTCCCCACGAGACCTGGCCCAGGATTTGATGGTCCCCAACACATTGCCCTCTTGCTCCAAAATGACTTGAACAATCTCTCATTTCATGTTTTTGGGAACCTCCCTGAAAAGAGCTCCTTTTGGAGAATCGGAGGGTTATCTAAAGCAGCATTTCTCAACCTTAGCAACTTCAAGATGTGTGGACTTCAGCTCCCAGAGTTTCCCACCCAGCTGGCTAGGGAATTTTGTCTTAAAGTTGCTAAGATTGAGAAACACTGATCTAAAGATCTAGAATCCACCGCAGTCACACCCGCTCAGAAGCTGATGGGTGTCAGCGTTTGGGTGCCTTCTAGCTTCAGTAGCATGCAGTCCTCCCTCTCCTCTTCCCCCCATCCTCTCAGAAAGCCTCCTGATAAAAAGATACTGCAGTTGTTCCAAATCGTAGTGATTAATGGTGCCCATGCTGTTGAAAATGAAAGTGCTACTCAGCAGAATGGAGAGTGCAAAGATCCATGAGTCATTCTTCGTATTGCTCTGCAAAGACATGGACAGGCATCAATGTCTGATGAAGGAAGACATCCTGGGCTGCTGCATCCTTGGGTGTACTGCTACAATAGGCTCTGTTCTTAACTATGGGTCATCTGTAACCCAGACGTTCTTAACCCAGGGACTACCTGTACAGAGCTTTGGGAGGGATTCTCTGGCAGGCAAGGTCTCCATGGTGGCTCTTCCTGACCACCATCGCCCTATTTCCAACTCACCTTCTCAACATCACCTAGACCTTCCGTATCCAAGAGCACCAGGGTATGGTGAGGCTTTAAGGGATGTGGAAGGCACCACATCCAGATGCCCTTGGTGTTGGCTTGTATTGTGGCACCTAGTGAGAAACCTAGAGGTTGCAGAACAAACAAGAAAAAGGGGATGAATTATCTAGGGCACATCCTCCCCAGCAACCAACACTCAGATGTCCATCAAAGATGTTCATCACTCTCCATCAAAGTCACCTTCCTTACCCTCTACAGGTGTACGAACCCAAGCAGTGATAAGGCAAATCAGATGGTCCACAGCTTTGATCACCCCATCATGACCACCATCCTGATTCTTTTGACTGTGGATATCCCTGAGGCAGATGTGCCTTCTTGCATTCTCACCTCCTTTCACCTTTCCTGCCAGCCTGTTCATGAGATAGGATTTGCCAGTGCGGTACAGCCCTACAATGGCCACCACAACCACAGGCTGGCAGATGCTTTGCAGGAGTTGTAAGGCATCCAGATTGATTTGCAGCTGCTCATTGGGCTTATTCTCTATCAGGCACACTGGCCCTTCCATGATACTTGTTGGATCCCAGGATGGTAGCACTTGAAATGGAGATGCCTGTCTGGACTGAAAGCCAAGAATAAAATTAGTTGGAGGGCATGCTCAGAGTTTTGTCACTGAGACACAGTTGCTCAAAATTGGGATATTGATGACACACTAGTAGGTTTCTTGGAAGTGAAGGGGTCTGCAAGCTTGCTACAATCCTAGTGTGTGAAAAAATATAGACATGGAGAGGCAGAAACTGCGTGAATGGCTTATGGGCCAACTCCAAGGTGCAACTGATTGGATGGGGCAATGGAGGTAGCTACACAGTCAGTGAAAGAGGGTCAGCCTTTTGACAGTGAGGGTTGTGCTTGGAACCACAGAGATGGAAGAGGCTACTTCTGTCCTCAAAGGCAACCCCTAGGGGGGTGCTGAGGGTAGCAAAGTGATGACAGCCATATCACAACATGCATGGTGTTAGATCTGACAGCTCTCCTTTGGTTTTTTTTAAACTCTAAACTTTTTTAAAACTTTAAAACTTTTTACTCTTTTAGCGCTCAAGATCTAACATCTCCTTCTAGATTGAGCTTGACTCTTAGCACTTCATGATCATGTCCTGGAAGCAACAATATGGAAGTGGCATATCTTTGCTTCTTCTTCTTTTCCATCTTCCCAACCTTTAGTCTACAGCTCTGATCATCTCCTATCCAAGTACGAGGCAAGTCTGACTCTGCTTAGCTTCAGAGCCCAGACATGGTGGGCTTCACTTTTCAACAATCAGAACCAGAGGGAAAGGGACTCATGGACCACCTGCGGTCTTGGAGTGCAGGCAGCCCACCCATGATTTATGGGAAGGGTCTCCCAGAGCATGTCCAATATCATCTCTGCAGGATAGAGTCTGCACCAGGAAGGTCCAGGGAGGGAGGCCAAAAAAAGTCAAGATGGCAGTTTCAATCACATAGTCACGGCCACCGTTCTGACTTTTTGATACTGCCTCTGCAGATGCCCTGGTCTACACTTTGCAATTCCTGCTCCTGTGGATATCCAATCCTGGCTTTTTATGCTCAACATCTTGTAGATTCCTCCACTGTTGGCCTCATCCTGTCACCTACCTCGTATTCCTGTTCAGAAGAAGAGCCTTCTGCTGGGGTTTCCGAGGCAATATTCTTCATGGAGTCCATAAGGCTCCCATTGTCATCCTGCAAGGAGAAGCAGGTGGAAAAGCATGGATTAGGTTTCCAACTTCACATTCCCCCATTTATTTTATCCATTTGATTTACTGCACTCGCATCTTGCGAGTTTAACCATTGCACCAGTCTTCCTAGATGGTGTCCCTAGATGTGTTCAAATTATATCGCTCAGAAGAAAATATGTTCAGCGTCAGGCACATCCATAGGTGGGGGGGTTAAAAAAGTAAAAATGGAGGCTGTGACTCCACTTTCAAAGCCCCATCCCTTGTGGATGGGACAGGGCTTCAGTTATGATACTTTTTTGGATACTTTTTTGTATCCCTCTGAGAATGCTGCTGCTGAACATCTTCTGCAGAAAAATGGGATATGCACACTAGAGTTGGTTTGGGCTGCTGGGTGCAGGGCCCCAAAGCTCCATAATTCAGAGCCACACATCTCTTAACTAACTAACTAAAATAGCAGAGATCATATCCTGCCCTCTGCTCTTCTTTCTGAGAAAATAAAATCTGCATCAGGGTTCTATCCTGAGGGCAACTCCTGCTCCCCTGACACTGATAGTGCTCAGAGAAAGCTTTTCCTTTCTGAATCTCCACCCCTTATACCATCCAACCCACTGGGGGTGAAATGGTGAAAATCCAGCCTTCAGCTCACATTCTGTCCTTTGTGCCAGCTGATCAAGTGTGCAAGAGTTGAGTGATGCAGTTGGTACCAGTTCTGGGGATTCAGGATGCTTTTGGAAGGACTACACTGGAGCTGTCCTCTTCATCCTTTTCTCCTCTAACTTCATCCTTAACTCCTCTAGCAACTTTAAGATGGGTGGACTTCAACTCCCAGAATTCCTCAACCAGCATGATGGCTGGGGAATTCCGGGAATTGAAGTCCACAGATGCTGAGATTGAGAAGCACTGGACCTATCACAGGACTGTTCTGATAATGCTCCTGCTTCAGCCTGTTGTTAGCCCTGGAAGAATTGTATAAGAGGGGGGAGAACCATGGTCTGCTTCAAAGTGACTAGGGGTGCAAATTTAGCTCCATTCTTACCCAGAAGAATACTTCTTGGACAGTTTCCGAGATCTGACTCAGAAGGATAGGCTTATCCTGTGATAAGGCATCCACAAACAGCTCCAGCCTGTAGGACCAAACTGAAAAGCAAAGAACCTCAAATAACCATGGATCTACCACCAGCTGCATCTGTGCTATCGTGTAACAACCCCTTTAGCTTTGTATATCAACTACTCCAGATTTAGATTTACAGCATACCCTTTCTCCTGGAGCTCAACTGAGTGGCTTGCAGGGAAATATCTATTTTCATCCCACCACAACTCTGTGAGGTAGGCTGAGCTGAGAGAGGTTGGCCCAAAGCCAACCAAGAATTTCCATGGCTGAAGGTAGACTTGAACTTAGGTCTCCCCAGTCCAAATCCGACCCAGCTTCCCCACTACACTATGCTGCTTCTCAGGTGAACTTGGCCCATTATGGCTTGTTAAGCAAACCATGGGTTGTCACAATATGCAAACCCATCCAGAAACCTAAAGCAACTCCCGCCCCTCCCCCAAATCTGGCCCAGGATCACCTCCTTCTTCTCCCTCGCCACCTCCTCCTCTGGGCAGAAGCAAAAGGAGGGTCTGAAGGGAACCTCACCTTTTCCACTGACACTTATCTTTGGTTCTTTGCTCAGGATATAGTTATTAAATGCTCGAAATTGCTTCTGGAACACGGGATGCAGTGAATCTGGTGGGAAGAACCCCCAGTCCTCTTCATTCACTTGAGGACAGTGAAAGCAGAACGCCTTCTGGGAGGGGAAGAGCTTCTGTATGCAGTCAATCGGTGTCTCTGCCTCCAAAGCTAAGGGGACATGGAAACAGAGTTCTAGGTTATCCCTTCCATAAAAATAACTGAAGACTTGGACAAAAATGTTCACTTTCTACATAGAGGTATCTACCAGGGGTGACTGAAAAGTCAAGATGGTGTCCATGACTGTGGGATCCAAGTCCTACTCTTTTTTTTACACCATCTTGACTTTTTTGCCCCACCACCCTCAGACTCCCCCTCACATTTTCACACCTTGTTCCCTTTCTTCATCTACTGTTTTTGTCAAATGAGCCTTTAACTGTAGTCATGTTTCCTTGTAGCAACCATTTTTACGATTTGCTACCTTCCTACAACGGCTACTTTAGCCAGCTGCTTTTTAAAATATATTCTCCATTTTTCTCACACTAGTTACTGTATCTGTTTTTAGTTTCAAGTTATTCTGTCTACATTGTTTTCATATTAATCAGAGCTTCGTTTCTACTGTCTTCCAGTTTTATAAAGTTCTATCTTTAACATTTGTACAATTAATTCTTATTGGATTAGTTGCAAATGTTGTTATATACTGTACTGTTCTTATGCCAATCTGTGGTTGTAATAAAAACGTCTGTTAGACTAGATAGATTAAAACGGTTGGTTTTAATCTTTGTACGCCACCTAGAGTCACTGTTGCGAGATGGGTGGTCATATAAATTATTTAAATAAATAAATCAATAAAGGTACATAGTAACCTCTATCTGAAGAATTTTAGGAATTATCATTCTGTATGGAAGGAATCTCCAAATCAGGATTCACTGTTCCTCTATTTTTATCTGCCACTGTTTCCTGTCCCTACCCCACCATTAGTTTCCTCTTGACAGATTGTAGATGGTGTGAACTCCTTGCATCAAGGCCCTTTCTTCTTGTAAAGATCCTTACTCATTGCCATTGCTGCTCATAAGCAATGCTTTCACCTGACAATTTCCTGTCTGGGGTGCATAAAGGAGATTTTTCATTGCAAGACATTTCTTTCACTTGGCCAACTGAATGTCTTCACTTTGGCCCCTTTCATCCTCAATCCTTCCTTATGACATCAATCAATTATATCTTTCCTATATACCTTTATACTGCATAGCCCAGCTCCTGTTGTTAGGCCAAAAAGCAAGGTATAAATACATCTGAAACCCCTAAGTTGCAGTTCGTACCTGCAAGGGAAAAAAGGAAGCTATCCATGTTATTGTTTGTGCTCTGGAGCATCTCTTCCCAAACCGAGTCAGAAGACACATCAAAAAGGGACCAAACAAACTCAGGAAGGACGCTACGGAGCAAGACGCTGTTCTCCAAAGGATCATCCTCAGAGAGGAGGATTTTATTGGACAGCTGCGTCACATAGCTACACAGGCTGTGAGCAAAGGAAATGAAGCAGAAAATTCGCTTGCCTGAATAACATGCTTTTTTGATTAAAAAAAAAAAAAGTTTACAGAGACCCAAATCCTAACCCTAACTTTCAGCTGAACTACTATTCAGGCTAAGAGGTTTATTCAGTGGTCAGACTCATTGGGTTCGGTGAAAATCACCCCCAAAGAGGCAAGACGGCTGAACACTGCCATCATGGTCATGGAAAGTACTCTCCGAACCATGAATGCTGCAGCGTGAGGAGTTACTGCAAGCTACAAGGGAGTAGCATCGTTTTTGAAGGCACACCAGGAATCTAATATAAACTAGCACAGTGGATTTACTCTACAGTATCTTATCTGTAGAATATCTGCTGTCCCAAAAAAGAAGAAAAATACAAAAAGGAAAGGAGATCAGAGGTAAAATCTATCACAGGCTATTATACTATTTCATTCAATTCCTGCCTGTGTATTCTGGGTCTTCCAATTCTTCCTGCCCAGCCACCTTTGTTTTGGATCCCAAATTCTCAACACAAAGTCTTATATGAGTCAAATATAGCTCCTGGGAGCTCTGGGGGACCCCCCAAAATATTTCTATAGACATTTGTTTAGGCCCTGACTATAGATTTGAATCTGTCCATGCATTTCCAACCTGCACTCCCCACCCTCACCCTCCTTGGGGGTAAGCAGACAGCTGAATCAAGAAGGATACGAAAGTTTTTCCAACTCTTTTTCGGGCTCTTCATTATGTGTGGTGTTATATATCAGGAGGTCGCAGAGCAAGGCATTTAAGCAGAAGAATTTGGAGAAAAGGTTATCTTTATCCTGCAATCACAAAAGAAGGAAAAGGTTGAGGGGACGAATGACTTGCTGAAGTGCTCTTGAAGTCACTCACTAAATTGTGCCTTTAACTCATCTTGATCTGTCCCATTCAGAGATCTTCCAGTTGGATTTCTACTCCATACAAAATCTGGGGTTTTCTTTATGCATAGAGTTCATACTTCAATTTCATGGGATATTTAAAGCAGAACAGATCCTCAGTTTTGACTCAGTCTATTCAGCTTATAATTCTGTGTGATGATTCATACTGAGCTGACCAGGATTCTTGCTCTTTTGCCTTGCTTATAGCTTAATAGTGATTTTTAGTCATTTAAAGCAATATATTATGTTCAATTATTCATAATTTATTAATGATATACCAGAAAACTAAAACCTCCTTGACATTTTTCAGATCCCTTACTCACATCGGCTGTATCCATATTCTATCTGTGTTTGTTGATATACTTTCTCTAAAAAGTTTTTTGAAAAAAAAGAGAGATAAATTTCCAACTCATCTGTCAAGTTCTGGATCTGCAGATTTCTGCACATGGAGCGGCAGGGGAGAGCACCTCTGTTCAATGCAGCCTGGAGAAAATGTGTCCCCCACCCCCAAGTTTTAGGAAGGGCTGGTCTTGAATGAAATCCTGCCTTGTTTGTACAGAGTTTTCATTTTGCATTTCATTTGATTTTTATTGTGTACCTTTTTATTCAAATGGTATCTCTTAGTGTGTTTTATGGTAAACTGCTCAGACAGCTTTGGCTATTGGGCAGTTTAAATTCTGAATAAAATGGAATGGAACTCCAACCTAGCCACTGCCTATTTCTATTTCAGAAGCAAAAGATGATCCTACTTTGTCCATCTGCTCTGGAAAACCTTCTGTGTCCAGCAAGATGAGGTTTTTTTCTGGTTTTGTTGGATGAGCCAGCTGCTGGATCCACATTCCTGGCATGGGGCCAAAACCTAGGGAGAAAGGGAGACGCCAGTCATGAAGAGGGAGGATGGGTGATCTCGGGCATCAGAGAAGAGTCCCGGAGCGGACTCTGATCTACATTTATTGTTGGCTGGAAACCCCTTATGGACTTTTTGCATCAAAATGAAAAAAATGAACTTGTGATTTATGGTTTTGATGATTAGTCTGGATGGATGATAAAAAGAAGAGAGTCATGAGACAACTTTAGAGAGAGAGGTTAAAATATAACTACTTCTAGCTGCTGTGAAGAAGATCAGAAGCCACTTCTTTATATGTTTATATCTTTCTTTATATCTTTCTCTTTTCTACTTTCTTCTAGTTTTTTTATTGTACTTTTAGCTTTTTCTTTTATTTCTCTCTTTTGTTTTTACTTTCTCTATTTCAGTTTGTATTACAGGTATTTACTACCACAATTGGGACCGGAATTTAGATTGCTAAGTGATGCGGTCATTAAGCAAATCATCACATGATCGGACCTGATTTTATGACCTTTTTTGCAGTGGTCGTTAAGCAAATCACACATTCGTTAAGTAAATCAAGCAGTTTCCCACTGATTTTGATTGCCGGAAACCAGCTGGGAAGGTTGCAAATGATGAACATGTGACTGCAGGACACTGCAACCGTTGTAAATGCGAGTTGGTTGCCAAGTGCCCAGATTGCAATCAAATGACCATGGGGGCACTGCAATGGCTGTAACTTCAGGGACCAGTCACAGGTCACTTTTTGTAGTGCCGTCGTAACTTAGAACAGTCACTAAATGAGTGGTCATTAAGAGAGGACTACCTGTAGTTCTTATTATCGCTGTTAAAACTTTCAATAAAAATTATTTTAAAAAAAAGAGAATAATCCCTGAGGAACTCACCTTTCTCCTGCCCTGCCAGCTGGTCCAAGAGAAAAGACTTCCCCGTGCCTTTGGGTCCAAAGATACCCACCACATAGAGGGGGCCAGTGAGGCTTCTGAGCAGCTTCAAGGCAGCTGGGTTTACATGGCATGACGAGTCCACCAGACATATAGGCTTTGACATGCTGGCTGCCAGCCTCCAGAAAGTCAGAATTACCTAAGACGGGGAAAAGTAGGATAATAAAGGGGTCAGTCTTTGAAGGGCCAGAAAGTCTTTGTTATTTTTATTGCAAAAGACAAAAAAGGAGGAGATGATGATGATGATGAAGAAGAAGAAGAAGAAGAAGAAGAAGAAGAAGAAGAAGAAGAAGAAGAAGAAGAAGAAGAAGAAAGAGCTGACTTTAGGGAAGGCATAAAAGAGCCATTAGAGGGACTTGGAGAAGAGATTACATAGTCTGGAATAGTGTTTTTCAACGTTAAGACAGACTGGGGAATTCTGGGAGTTGACGTCCACCTGTCTTAAAGTTGCTGAGGTTGAGAAACAGTGTCCTAGTCTTTGACCATGAGCTTAAGACTTGCAAGTGGCAGGCTGCATCCTTTTTACTGCCAGCAAAGTCTGGTTGCCCTCCTGGCAAGCAACGGTGCCTCTTACAAGCAAGGTTCTGCTCAGCCAGAAGCCGGCTCCCTTGTCGCCAGCGTGCCCCGGCCGCCCAGCCCGTCTCTCTGCACCCGGAAAGCCTGCTCCGGGGGTCC